CATTGCTTTGTTTCGTAACAGCTCCCTACCCAAAGCCTTTAACTATGGCAAGGCTATTATATTCTTAATCAGTCATGAAGCCCTGCCTCAGAAATAGCTTCTGTCTCCCTTCTGCTCTGCTTAGAGCTCTGTCTAAACACTGAAGATACAATGCCAAGTTCAGCACATCCTTAATGTTGTGCACTGAGGTGTATGGACCACAATAACACTGACTGACCAACCGTGCTCCTTACTGCCAGCAAACCTTAGAGACTCTGGCAGACTCCTCAGCTTACATTGGTTTCATTTCTAAAAGGCTATTTCTGTAGTCTGAGGATAAAGCACTTGCTAAAAATCACAGCTTCAGTTCTAGAGCCACTAATAGTTATTGCTCTGGCACTGGTTACTGCGAGCACTACACTGACTCGAGCCAAGCACACAGGGAATTCTCAAACTGTGCCATATTATGTATATTCCCTTTCAAATTATACCAAAAATGTGCTGTTGGCTCTGGTTCTGATCCAGACTAGAAAGATTTTACATATTTAAAGACAAATATGGTACCTTCTCCTCCTCTAAAGATGAGGTTTTGACAGCCCTGGCTAAACTGGGGCAGTGTTCAGGTCTACTGTTGCCTGTGACAGCCCTGCCTCACACAGCCCTAAGAAAACACATTCATCTGAAGAGCTTCAAAATTTTAAGAGACTGATGTCACTGGAGCTTGAACAACGTGCTCCTAAGACTTTCTAGAATGTCAAATAAGAACAGAACCAGCACTTCCTCTAGCCTCCTCCCTGCTCCCCAAGCACAGGAGCAGGCCAGTGCCTCCAGAAGGCAGCCTCGGAGCTCAGCGTGTGGCTCTGACCCTGCTTAGAGGATAAAGAGTGGTCACAGCACGCCAACTGCTTCACAACTGTCATGTCACACTGTGGGCGAGCTCTGTGGGGGCGGTGAGAACAGAATGTTGTGAGTGACACATACTCAGTCAGCAAGACCTGACCGAGTGCAGCCTGGAGAAGAGAAGCTGCGTAGAGACCTCAGAGCAGCTTCCAGTGTCTGAAGGGGGCTACAAGGATGCTGGAGAGGGACTCTTCATCAGGGACTGTAGTGATAGGACAAGGGCTGATGGGTTCAAACTGGAACAGGGGAAGTTCAGGTTGGATCCAAGGAAGAAGTTCTTCCCTGTGAGGGTGCTGAGGCGCTGGCACAGGGTGCCCAGAGAAGCTGTGGCTGCCCCATCCCTGGCAGTGTTCAAGGCCAGGTTGGATGGGGCTTGGAGCAACCTGATCTAGTGTGAGGTGTCCCTGCCCGTGGCAGGAGGTTGGAACTGGATGATATTAAGGACCTTTCCAACCCAAACCATTCTGTGATTCTACGATTCTATGGAAAATAACCACCATAAGTTCAATAGACAATGCCAATAGATTTTTTCTCTTTTTAATGTTACAGCCTGGGTTACTGCCATTACAATGACACAGTTTGCAAATTAATCTTTTAATATTAAAGTGCAGTTACTGATTCTTCTAGAAGAGATTTTATCCTCCCATTTAAGCTATGGCTTGAAGGGTGTTTGCTGCCATTTTTCTCATACAGTATTCAAAGAGTTTAGTAAATCCAATACTAAGGCCTCACATACAAACCTATGTTATCTCTTAATATCAGGTCTGGGAAAAAACTTTGCTCATATTTCTTTTCTAAAGTTTACTCCTGAACACTCCTCCATTTCAAAGTACTTCCTCTAAGCAGGCCATGAACTACATTGGATTTTCTTGTGATGAATGAAGAATCAAGTTAAAGGAAATATCAACAAGAACATCACACAATTAGTCCTTTTGTTAGCAGAAAGACAGATCAAATGTGGTAACTTGGAAAATACAGCCACAAAGGCCAGACTGCATCCTTGCAATTAATGAATGGGTGTAAAGCTTAAATCAGGATCTGGATTGTAAGTCTTCCCAAAAATCCTAAAATGAAGTTACAACCAGCTCTCTCCCTCTCTTAAATATATGATCTTTTCCTATTGCAGCTCGCTGGGGGTGACTGGCTGTGCCAAAACTTTCAAGAATTACCAGGCTCCATTTGCTCTGTTTTAGTGATTACAGATTCCAGGGACCTGTAAGGCCTCTACTCAATGCCTTAGTAGGATAAACCAGGTATTTTACATTTTCTCAAAGTCAGACCTTTGGAGTGTCTGAACTTGAGATCTTAAGAGGGATCACAAAAGGGTTGTTTTTAATTAAACTTAAGCTATATTCTTAGCTTGCATTCACCTGTTACTTCAGATAAGGAAGACTCAATCTAATACGTTAATAAATTGAAATAGTAACGACTGGTTGCCATTGCAGGTCCTAAACAGGTAATAGTTTTTTCCTGTTCCACCTGCAAAAACAACAATCAAAACACAGCCCAGATTCAGAATTAGCTGACTCAACAAATCAGTTACCAAAGAAAACTTTATGTGCCCTTTCCCAGCTCAGGTATTTTATCAACAACAACTGAGTACACGCTATCGACAGATACCCCTGCACAAAGTTTCACTGTAGTCAGCTCAAAGACCAGCTTACCAAGAGTGAACAAGTGACTGTCAGGTACATTTACAGCTCCAAAGCAATGCACTGACTCTAGGACTGTCCTGACTAGATCCTTATGAAGGTGCTTCCCATTCTTATCAAGAGAAGCCATTCTGTCACACTGCCAAGAGTAAAGCTAGTTCTGATAGAGGCTCTAGAATCGTAGACTCATAATGGTTTGGGTTGAAAGGGACCTTCAAAGCTTATCTAGTCCAACCCCCCTGCAATGAGCAGGGACTTCAACTAGATCAGGTTGCCCAGAACCACATCCAGCCTGGCCTGGAATGTCTCCAGGGATGGTTCATCCACCACCTCTCTGGGCAGCCTGTGCCAGTGTTTTACCACCCTCATTGTACAGAATTTCTTCCTCACATCCAGCCTCAATCTCCCTCTTTTTGTTTAAAACCATCGCCCCTCGTCCTGTTGCAACAGAATCTGCTAAAAAGTCTCTCCCCATCTTTCTTATAGGACCATTTTAAGTATTGAAAGGCTGCAATAAGGTCTCCCAGGAGCCTTCTCTTCTCCAGGCTGAACAACCCCAGCTCTCTCAGCCTTTCCTCACAGCAGAGCTGCTCCATCCCTCTGATCATTTCTGTGGCCCTTCTCTGGACCCTCTGCAACAAGTCCAGAGCTGGACATAGAACTGCAGGGGGGGGCTCACCAGAGTGGAGCAGATGAGGAGAATCACCTCTCTTGACCTGCTGGCCACGCTTCTTTTGATGCAGCCCTGGACACAGCTGGCATTCTGGGCTGTGAGCACATGTTGCCTGTTCATGTCCAGCCTTCCATCCACCAGTACCCTCAAGTCCTTCTCCTCCTCACAGAACCGAAATGACCATGGAAATAATAGACTAGTAGTGAGCACACATTCTGCGCATGGAATGAGCCAAACAGTCTTAATCACAGTCTTTATTCCCTTTCAATAACTATAGAAGGTTAAAAGGAAGCATATTCTCACAGATTTTCCATTTCTGATATCAGTTTTACAGCCAGATGTGGCTACAATGTTTCTTTTGTTCAGCATGAAAAAGCTACATAATGGTGTTTCCAACTGCTTTACTTAAAGAATGGACTGACTCATCCCCAAGAGAAATACTATCATTTATAAGTGCACCCACATGCATAGATACAGAGAAATTCCACGTATAATTTTAGTGCATGTGTCACTACTAGACCATGTGTGTAGGTGACCTGAATATATAGGTGGAAGAGAGAAGGCATCTTTAGAAGGCATTTTTGAATACATACTGAGCTTCTGAAGGAAGGTACTATAGAAAGACAGTCCTAAATTTATCCCAGATGGAACTAAACAATTTTTTCCCCTCTCTAAATCAACAAGAACAGCTTCAGACTGTACATTGATCTGGTGCAGGAATAGTAAGAACCACATGATCTATGTTTTAAAACCAGTGTGGGTTTGCCTCTCTTTATGCTTCCTCCCCGCTCCAATCCCTAATGCTTCCTTTCATCAGTATTCTCTCCAGCACCTTCCTATTTTGCACAGACACACAAGTTATCTCAGAGTCCTTCAGCGACCCATAACAGGAGATAAATAGTTTACCGACTATCACTGAAATCCAGATGGAGTATTTGATTCTGAGGAAGTCTTTACAGGAAAACCCTATGCAACAGGATTCAAAGAGCATGTTTCATTGACTGAGGCTTCAGACCCAGCTTTCCCAGAAGGTGAATATGGGTGTAAATTAACAGCAGGTCACATTCCAAGCTTTATGAGAGTATATTTGGAAGTACCAGTTCTCTACCACAAAACTGCTATTTTATAGCAAAATTTACAGCATATGAAATAGCATCAATGGTGCCTTTAGCTTTTGGTACCTGAAGCCAAAACGGTACCTGAAAAAGCTTGTTGGGAGTAGCCCCTGAATGGATGCGCTCTGTATACAGCAGTTGTGCAGCAGGATTTTCAATGCACAGACATTCACATGCCGACCCTAATGGGCCAGCTGTCTCCAGTACTGCAGATGTCCATTATTTCCACAAGTATGACAAGATTTTGGGGTTGTTCTGTCAAAAGGGTAAGTCCCAAGACCCCAGATTTAGATTATGTGTCTATGTGCTTTCAAGTTCATGGGTAAGCACAAAATTGTTGCTCTGTTGTTCTACTCGGAAGTACCGGTTGGGAATGACAACCTAATACAGATGGTTTCAAAACACACACACGAGATGTAGATATATATAAATGCACTACAGTGCCAAACACAGTTTCATTATAAAACAAGGTATTGCATAGCCTACATCGGTTGGTCACGTATTTCTTACTTAAAGTACATATTCATCCTATTCACGTATTTTCTTAGTATTTCATCTGAATGTACTGGCTCCACATTAAAATATATTGTAAAATTTAGTATATTTAAATCAGAAACATCACTCAAGTCAGTCGCCATGTGCTACTACCATAGAAGCATAAAACCCAAAGGCGAAAAGTACCTTCTTCCAAGATATCAAGGCTCTGCCTGTTACATGTGCGTTCTCTCTCATTTTCCTTTTCGTAGTCATATTCAAAGCTTTCTTCTTTGTTTACTGACATTGCTGAAATTATCCCAGACACGATGCCTCAGTCTCACAGGAGATAGGAAATCATTCCCTTGGAAGCTGTATTTCTGGGGAGAGCAAAGCAAGGTCTCCACAAAGCAGGATACCATCTTTCCTCACTTACATGCTCAGCCCGGGAGCTCCTGAGTGACTGAGTATTCATCCTTAGCACAACAGCTTTGTATGGTACAGATGGGGTGGAGGAGGGAAGAGACCATCTGCCTAATAATTACTACAAGATGTATGTTGTTCCTCGTACCAGCTCTGAGGGTAGCCAGTTTGTGCTCAAGAGCTCCACTAGCATATTTCAAACAAATAGGTGGGCTGAAAGCCCTGTCCCTGGAACTCCCCACGTCACCAAGGTCCTCTCTCCTCTGCCCCTGCTCTTTAAAGCACAGTGGTAGCTTCCCACAAGTGCCTCAGCCACACGGAAGTTGGACCAGCCTCCAACTGTCACACCTATGAAGGGCGTGCACCTTTACGGAGCTAAATCACCTCTCAGATTGCCTAATGCTGCAAGAAACAGATTTCACAGGAGCAGTGAACAGCCTAAGCCTGTACATGCCAATCCCACCCAGCACAGAGATCCCGAAAGCTGAGGCTGTTCTGCAGCACGGGCTGACTGAGGCATCCACCAACACACTGAAACCATAGGGTGAAGAATTAGCCTGGGGAAAGGGGGCCTTTTTATTGCTCTTACAAAAAAGATTGTGCTTGTACAAAGCATTTAAGTGATATATCATATCAGCTGTCAAATACCATGTTTTCCACAGTCATCTTTACTCTTCTGTTTACCCTGGGAAATGAAGTACCTCAAGTTCTCATAACCACCCTAGTGCATTTTCAAGGGCGTCTGTATCTCTTCTTTCTTCAAAAACAAACAAAAGTCCTTGTGCTCAGATCTCTTGGTTTCCAATAAGTTGTGTTTGCTAAACTTGGTTACATGCACACAGAATTTAACTTTCTTATTTAACCTTTTGCAGCTATAGAAATCTAATGTTTGCCAAGTTGCCTCCTTCCAACGGCAAACAGACGCCATTTGCTGCTTGCAGAAAGCATTCCTACCTGTGTCACAAGGCAAAGTGGAAGCACTGCAAGGCAAAGGCAGCTCATCACTCTCTGCAGGGACAGAACTGCTAAGGAGGCAGACAGACAAAATGACAAGCCAGCAGAACAGTTAGGGTCATGTACAAACAATTTCTCTGCTACCAGGAAGCTGACAAAAAACCTGAAGAGGGGCTCTGGACAAGGGCCTGTAGGGACAGGACAAGGGGAATGGCTTTAACCTGCCAGAGGGGAGACTGAGTTGAGCTCTTAGGCAGAAGTTCTTCCCTGTGAGGGTGCTGAGGTGCTGGCACAGGGTGCCCAGAGAAGCTGTGGCTGCCCCATCCCTGGCAGTGTTCAAGGCCAGCTTGGACACAGGGGCTTGGAGCAACCTGCTCTAGTGGTAGGGGGCCGGGGGTTGGAACTGGATGGGTTTTAAGGTCCCTTCCAACCCAAACCAGTCTGGGATTCTATCACTCTCTAGTGGTGTGAAAGTATGAGGTAGTAAGAGAGAGGAAGGAACTAATTTTATATAATCACAATGACTTATTCTGGCTTAAGTTTTAAACTCTTGATATTTATATGCAAACAACATAACATGTTTACATAAACAATAGCCAAAGGATATGAAATACACTGAAGTGCTTGCTAAGGAAAGGAACACTCATTTCTGAATAAAGATCTTACTACTCAAACTTCACAACACAACCTTTGACTGCCAAAATTTACTGCAATATCCAGCAGCAGCAAGCACCTGAAGAACTCGGCTAGGGAAAAAAATAGGACTGTCCCTTTCTCCCCGTATCATGACAATAAAAGATGTAGTTTCAGTCATCTTGTAATGGGGATTACTTCCAGTTTCTCAGGGTTTTTCTGTGTCTTCATTTCTGCCATTTAGCAGTGAATCAAAACCCTTAAAAAAACCAAACAAACCTGCAAAATTCAGATAATAAGGGGTTTAAGTACCTACTTGCCATCCAGTGTCAATTCACCACATTTCAGCAATAGCTAGACTGGAAATTCAGAGAGTTACTAAAATAAGTCATTTTAAAAGAAGGCAAGAAGCACCTTTTAGGGATTAGGGACAGAAAAGTCTACCTCTGCCAACCCTGTTGGTTTTAAGATTGCTGAGAAGTGTTCAAGCTTATAAAGGAGAGCAGGGCACTGGGTGACACACTGAGAACAGGCATGCTGCTGCCCAACGTGCATGACAATATAAGGAGAGTATATGCATCTTCTCACAAGCTGACTTCTGATCTGTGACTCATGTCAACTCATGCCACACAGAAGGACTCTGACATTCAAAAGCTGAGAGAAAGATAAGTGTTACAATCTCTATTTTGATATCAGAACAAGATAAATGCTGATGTGAATTCATAATGGGTGGAGAAGGAATGTGTACCCCACCCTCACGCTATCGACCCATTTTTAGTGCTATTCTGCATTAAGTCCTTTTAGTAGTGCTGGAATATTTGCTTGCTAAAGATTAAGAGCCAGGTTAGAAAACAGATAGCAAACAATAAGCAGCTGTGAAGAAGCGGGAGCTAAATGGTATATGGTTCTGAATATATATATCCATCAGGAAAGATTCAAACGAGATTTGTATTATTTGCTGTAAATACATACTCAGGGACTTGAAGAATATACCAGAACAAACATACCTTTTGATGGGTTGCCACTGTGAAGTGAATTTGGCATATTTGCTGCTATCTCCACTCTGAATTAGAGGCTAAAGACATTGAACTCCTTTCAGGAAGCTTGCTAAGTGAGTTGCAATGCTGAAAACACACATACTCATACGATGCCCGCACTAAGGTACAGCCTGCCTTCAGCAACTTGGCAATCAAACAGGAAACACACTAATTGGGAGCTAGTTTGAAGAAGGGTGAGGCTAGACACAATACAAACAAACCCTCAGATCCTGACTCAATGTTTCCAAGGAACTCCATGACATTCATATCATTTTGACCTTCCCTTATCAATAAAAATACCTGGACTTTTGCACAATTAGCCACATTCATTTAGACCACAATTGACTAGTGACAACAATACTGCATTTACAATGAGATCCTCTGTAAGCAAACAAGTCCTAAAAACAGCGGCTGAAACAGCAGAGCTTGGATTTAAAATGTGTTGATGAAGAAATGTGGGTGGTTTGGAGTGAGCTTTTCAGGGAGGAGGGATAAACTGGGCATTGAACATGTGCTTCCTATTCTGATATACAGTCAAGCAAAGTTGCGTGTTCAAATTTGTACATGTTCTGCACATTTCCCACTCTTTCAGTCTCACCCAAATTACCTTTGTCACGTGCCCAAAAGGACAGCACATTACTGTTGCAGAAAGGCACTGAATGGGATGAAGTGGAAAATCACTCACCTGGAAATTTAGCAGCTGAGCAGAATAAAGAGGAAAAATAGCTCTATAGTGAAATGTAAGCCCCATAAAGCAACATGCTAGTAGCTTAGGTTTGACTGCATGAAGAACAGAGAGTCAGTGGAGGAATAAAGAAGTGACATGGCAAAAAGCAGAAGACTAGGAAAATGGTATCAATGATTACATGAACATAAGCAAGGTGCAACCATGTTTACCGAGTATAGAGATAAAGGCCGTAGGAGCAAAACAAAAACAACCCGAATGAGAATTTTAGCTGCACACATATAGAGCAAGGGCTGTTCCAGAGATGGCACACTACAGGCATTTGTACGGCATCTACAGGTTTAGATGGCATACCCACAGTCAGCATGCAGAGTAACTCTGTCCACAGGGATGGAGATAAAAGGAGCTAATCATCAGAACTCATCATAAACAGTCAACCATCAGCCAAGCTCTCCATACTGTGAAGGAGAAGGTGTCAAGGGAAGCATATTTTAAGTAAAAAGCTTGACTGTGCCACCTGCCAAGCTGTCAGATGTGTGTTTGTGTTTGCGAGGTTACCCACGAATAAGGTGCACAGAGAAGAAACATGGAGAACCAAGAACTCCTGAAGAGCTGCAGCAAGGACTATGAAATATTCTATTAATGCTACCTTAAGGGAAACAGTCTCACATTTGTAAAGGCATGCTAATATGTGCAAGGATAAGTAATCATTCTTGAAGTGGAGGAGAGGTCAAGGAGAACAAGCTTTAACATTGTTAATTATTGTTCAGCTAAAAGAAAGTTCAAGAGCTTGCTGATAATCACTTCAGTACAGTGGAAAACAGAATAGAGAGGCTGCAAACAGTAACTGCAAACAGAACACATGATGAAAACATTTCAGTGTGAGCAGGAAGAAAATAGGGGGAGGGGATGAAAGTTATAAAGAGCAAAAGCAGGGATGAGGTAGCTCAGGCCAACATAAAAGGGGTTAAAAGCTTTGGCATGTGTGACAAACAGGGCACACAATGTAACTGGCAGGGGGGGAAAGCAAAAGACACTGTTCCCTCCAGAAGAAATTGCTGAACCTCATGGCCAGCAGAAAGAGAAGAGGGGCAATTGCACATACTCAGTCATCTGGAAATGCAGGCAATGAGCTCTCAGCCATTAGCATGGAGTTGTTCAGCTCAAAATGAGTAATGGAAGAAACCACAAGAAAAGTAATTTGATCCAAAGTCAACCTGGATTTCTCTAGAAAGCATTGTTCATTTGAGAGGATGAAAAATATTGGCCTAAGAAAGAGGGACAAGTGGGACAAAGCTATTCATAAAGGTTTCTATGGGTTTCTACCTATCTGTTTGTTTAGTTGTTTGGTAGTTTGGGGGGTGGGGTTCTGTCATGCAAGTTGCATTGTGGGAGATTTCTTCTTTTAAGAATGTATTTGCTTTCCTCTACAAAACCCCCACCTAGATGAACCTAGACTTTTACACTGTTATCTTTCAGGTAAGAGCCTAAAAAAGTGTCATCTTTTCCTCTTTTATCATTGGTTCTATCAATCTGAGAGTCTGCTATCAAAGTCGCTACTTCCCTAAAGTACAC